GCAAAAGAAGGAGGAAGAGAAGGTTTCATATGACCAGCAAGGATCCATGTTTGGGGAGCCATGCCTTATTTTTTTTAATTATATTTTTAAGATTTCTAAATACATTTGGAAATTGATTTTTTATTGCTCTTTCCTAGATTACGTGTCATCATTTCAAGTGTCAGCCAGAAATACACCCATGCAGATTATATTTATCTCTGTCTTCCAATTAGAATGGAGAGAGGTAGAGTTAAATGTCTGATATGTTGTACATGGTTCCCCCTGATTGATATCAGAAAAGCACCTTGTCAGCTCAACAAGGAAGAAGTGATCTTTGAATACCTCATCAAAAGAGCTCATTATCAAAAGCCTAACTCCCTCAATGAGCTGACAATTAATTAGCTAAGCTTTTGTGTAATGTTTTATATAAAATAAATAATATATTAGACATTTTCCTCTCTCTTTTTTTCTGCTGCATGTACCAACAACAGGTAAAAGTACTTCCTTTCATTCAGCTGAGACATTCTTCTTCATTATTTTTGACAAATGTAAGTTGATCTTCCTAGACTTTAAAATATAACAATTTGTATCAAATCTCTTGTAGCTGACAATGATTTATAGTATTTCATAAAAGAGGCTGGGGCATCATGGAAGGATAATAATAAGCATTAGTAGAAGCAGCCATTTAAGTTAAATATATGTTCAGAAAATGCCTAATTATTATGGCTTTTTTATCCATATGCAAAATCTTGTTACAAACTCAAAGAAATATATCTTTTCAATTTATCTTTCCATTGACTTCCAATATTTAATATTCTTGGAGCTTGTGCTCACAGTAAACATTCACAATTGGTCATTTATAAGACTGAGTTAATGTAGTGCTATAAATATACCAACTAAAAATAAAGACATTTTAATATTTGATTATCAATATTATCACCACTTACCTTCTCTGCTGACTGTGCAGTACCAAAAAAGATTGGAATAAAAGCTAACCAAATAATGCAGGTGGTGTACATAGTAAATCCAATGGGTTTTGCTTCATTGAAGGTCTCTGGAACCCCTCTTGTTTTAATAGCATAAACAGTGCATGTGACCATCAAGAGAATACTGTATCCCAGGGAACAAATTAGTGAAAGATCAGAAATGTCACATTTGAGAACTCCCCTGGCATTTTCTGGATCAAGTGTCCTCTGTTCTCCATAATCTACTATGATATGTGGTGGATCAATAGCAAACCAGATGAAGACTCCAATAAGTTGCATGGATATGAGACTGAAGGTGATCACCAGCTGTGAAGCTGGACTAATAAACTTTGGAGCAGTGACAGATTTTTTACCTTGTTCAAATATTCTGTGAATTCTGTTTGTTTTGGTGAGCAAGGCAGCATAACTGAAGCACATGCCAAGTCCTAAAAAGATCCGTCGAAACGAGCATACCACGGTATCTGGAGTTGCAATCATTAAAAAAGTGATAGAGTAACAGAGAAAAATCCCAGTCAAGAGCACATAGCTAAGTTCACGTCCAGAGGCCCTGACAATGGGGGTATCGTTGTAGCGGACAAAAGTCACAATTACAAAGGTGGTTGCAATAATTCCAAGCATAGCTACGAATACAGGCACAATAGCCCAAGGAGAATGCCATTCCAGTTTGATTATGGGAATAAGCTGGCAATCTGTACGGTTGGCATTTGGTCTCTTATTAAAAGGACACAGTTCACAGGTAAACTCATCCACTTGATAATGGTACCCATCACAGCGCTCACAGTGCCAACAGCACGACACTCCCTTTACTGTTTTCTTTCTTTCTCCAGGTTTACAGGGAAGGCTGCAGAGAGATGCTGGAAGAATGTGTTCTTTATTGGTCCACTGCATGTCTTCTACCTGTAGGTATAAAAAATTAATGAGCCTTCCATTTTTCTCCATTTATAATATCCTAATCCTGGCCATAGGTTTGTCATAAATCACTATGTGCTGACAGTAGAAATGCAGTTTACCATAATAAGAAACCTGTTTCTTTCCTTTATATTGACTTTATGAAAGTGTTAAATGATTGTACCCAATAAATCTTTCATGCCATGGACTTGATGAGTGTCATTAGTTTCTATTTACCTCTTTACTGCTGACCAAATTGACATCTGTAAAAAGATTTATTGACTCCAGGCTAGTTTAAAAGCAAAAGACCTGCATGCACAACTTCACTAGCTAATCACATGCAAATATACATACCAACAGTTCTCAAACATTTAATTAGGAAATAAGATTATGTGGGTTTAGAATTAATTTCTGGTGCAATAAAAACACAGATTAAAATCCTCATGCATCAACTGTGACAGAGCAAAAACGACAAGGGAAAGGATCTTCTTCTGTTAAGATATAATGCCATGGCTTCCAAGAACCTGAATGTTTGTATTTTTCTGCCTTTCAAGATTTATTTGAAATGCATATTTTCCTTCTAGAAATAAAATAAAAAAGTATGTATATTCACTACATTATGATTAATAATGTAAAGAGACATCTCCTTAATTGTGAATGTTCAAGTACGTTTAAAGGTACAGTGGTTTATGCAAACAGGGAAGACTTTTTCTTATGGTCCATAAATTGATCTCTTCACAATGAAACATTAACACATCAAGTTATTTCACTCATTTACTTCTCCCTCCCCCCATAAAAATGAATAAAAATAGAAAAATATGGAGATCTACCAAGATTCCTACTTAACTTCAGCACTCAGTCACTTTGACCCAGTTCCATCCATCTCTACTTGTACTGAGTAGTGCCATTCTCTAATTAGTATGCCACTGACTTAAATAGAGCTACTTCCAGTACAAGTCTCAGAATACAGCCCTTTGTGTTGTGCTTCATTCGCGCCCCTTCTTTCCTGTACATGTTCTTTACTATAGTGTGAGTTGTGAAGGACAGAGGACTTATCTTTATCTGTACATGCCTGTAAAGTGGCACATTTGAGGGATTTAGAAGTTAGATTTGCAAATAGAAAAACCAATAATTGTGGGTCCTGGGTGTTTTTGGTTTCCTCCAATAGAAAACAAAATGGCACAGCATGACAAAGAGGATAATTTTAGTCTTAACACTAAGTTTTCCCAGCAATGTTTCTACAGAATTAAAAGAGAACATTGTGTAAAACAGCTGTTTCCAAGCTCACGCTGGTTCCTCAGAGTAACTGGGTACCCAACACACTATCATGTGAGGTTTTCAAAATAGGGAATCATGGAGTTAAGCCACTTTTCTCCACTTCTCTGTAATATGATGCCTTTCCAATTCTTTTCTTTTCTTTTCACCCCATTCTCATTAGGAAGCTGGGGGACTGTGGCGTAGACACCCATACAGTCCAATGGGTCGCCAACTGGTTAGAGAGTCGCACCCAGAGGGTGGTAGTGGATGGGTCCGTCTCGACCTGGAAGGACGTGGGAAGTGGGGTCCCACAGGGCTCGGTCCTTGGGCCCACCCTGTTCAATATCTTCATCAGTGATTTGGATGAGG